CATGCTCCACATGTTCCAGTACGTCCACATCATCTCGGGCGTCTTCTTCTACCTGAGCTCGGCCGCCAACCCCATCCTCTACAACCTGATGTCCACCCGCTTCCGGGAGATGTTCAAGGAGGTGATGTGCCACCCCGGCCACCACCCACCACGGCCACGGAAATACTCGCCCAGTGTCACCCGTGCCACCACCCGCAGCACCGAGTGCGAGCCCATGCCCAGCGCCAATGGGCTGCCCCTCTCTGACGCCGAGGAGTACGAGCTGGAGGAAGTGGAGGGGGGCCAGGCCACCACGCATGCAAGGTCCCTCTGATGATGAGCAGGAGGACACGGGGGAACTGGGACCGGCTTCCCCCACCACCAGCATCCATCTCACCCTGGCACCCATCCCATGGTGGGGAGTGGGGCAGGAGCAATGGAGTGGTCCCCGCCTCTCTGTGCCATCCAGTTGGGATGTGAAGGCTGTTTTTCTCGTCAGCACTGCACTGGGGACACAGCAGCGGTGGCCATACTGTGCGCTGGATGCATTGCACCTGCTGCATTCAGCACTGGGGCATCCCTCGTGGTGCGGGGACGGCTGGCTTCTACGTCAGGGATATGCCAGCGATCCCCCAAAACATCCCATCCCTCCCGGCCCAGTGGGGTGAGCCCATGGGTGCAGGTGTCAGGGGTGTCAGGCACTCCAGGCTGTTTCGGGACACTGTGCTGAGTGGGTGCCCTGAGAGGTGCTCGCACCCAGGGTTCAGACCCACAGGGGCGGGAGAGGTTTGCACAGGCTGGAGTGGGGAAAGAAAGGTCTGTGGGTGCCTTCCCCCTCGAGACCTCCCCAGGGCCCTCTGGCACTGACATGCCCCTGATTTTCATGCACATCCCTTTGGTGGTGCCAGCCGGTGTCTGACTGCAGGGTGCCCGTACGGCTCCTTGCTCCCAGCCTTCCTCCCACCCTATGCCCCCAAGGGCAAGGGAATGAGCGCGGCTGCTCCCTCCAGAGCCGGAGCCTGCAGGGGGAAATACAGGGCAATGGGAGCCGCAGGCTGCCTGCAGCGCCGAGGCGCAGCTCTGTGCCTTCCCCGGGCCCCACAAACACGCCCCGCTCTCCCCACTCCAACGCACATCTGGTGGGTGCCACCCTCCTCTTCCTCAGCCTGCCATGGTCCCCTGCACCCCCGGGAAATGTGGGGAGCCCTTCTCCATCCCTGCCCTGCACAGGCCGAGCCTCATTGGGAATTAAAAAAAGCCATTGGCCTGATCTGTGCCCTCGTTGTGTCCCGCAGCTCTGCTCCCAGCACAGGACTGAACCCGGGCCATCCTCCCGGGGGGTGACAGGCAGGCCATGCGGTGATGGGCACCGGGGTGTCCCACCGGCTCTGCCTGTGGGCTCTGCTGCCATGGTGGGTTTTCGGGGTCAGGCGGGCTCAGGGCACGGCACAACGGGATGCATGCACCCTTCCCAGTCTCCAGGATGCTCTGGCCAAGATGGAGCTGGGGCCATTGAGGGGGGGAGCTGCCTCCGGAGTGGTGGCGATCAATCTGTCCCCAGACACACAGCTCCGGAAATGTCACAAAAATGCCAGGGAGCGCAGGCTGCCTGGTTGTGCTCCCCCAGGCTGGAAGGACCCATCGATTTACTGTCTGAGATCGATGCCGCTGACTTCCTGGCGTACGCCAGGTCCTCCCGCAGGATGAAGTATCGAGGCTCTGAAATGCCACCTGAGGGGCTGTCCGAGCAGCTTGAGCTCTTGCCTCGCGTGACTTCCCCAGCCCCAGTGCCCCCCGGCCAGCCGGGGAGGCTCCCCTGGCTCGGCGTCCCACAGCGTGGATGTGCCAGCGGGGCTCACCGCTGAGCAGAAACACCGGAGGAGCAAGCCCCGGGCAGAGCGCTGGCAGGGGCATCACTGCCTGCTACTGCTCTGCTTCCAGCCCCTCCTAAGCACATCACACAGGGCTGCAGCCAGGCCAGCCACCCAGAATGGGCAGGATTTGGGGCTTGCAAACTCCCTCCTGCCCCCGTTGACCTGGTCCCTGGCTCGGGAGCAGTGTGGCCAGTTTCCCCCTACTCCCCATCCCCACAGCAGCGTCTGCTGTGGGCAAAGCCCTTCCTCAGCCCTTGTGGGGTCCTGCTGTGTGCTGCTAGGTGAGGGTGGGCGTGGGGCTGCAGTAACTTTGCACTTTGAGGTCCTGCCGGCTGCTCGCAGCCTTTCTCTGGAGGATGTCAGCATGGCCAAGGGCATCGAGATCCATCTATTTCCTTCCCTCTCTGGCTCCCATCGCTGATGGTCCTGGCAGGGGACAGCACCCTGGCAGCTGTGCAGGGCCCCTTGTCACTGCTGCGCAGGTGGACGTGACTGATGCCTCTTCGATGGCCATTATTGCCCCATCTCATTTCACCCGGCAGCTTCCCCGGCTGCAAATCTGCAGGGAATGGCTTTTTAATAGGTGGTCAATAGCATTTTATTACGCAGTGACAGCTGCTTGCGTGGAGCTTCGGGGTCCCTCGTGCTGCGAGTCAGGAGGACGCATCCCCCTGCTCATGAGCAGCTGGGCTGTGTGAGGGTATGGCTGCGGCTGCTGCAGCTCAAGCTCCTTGGTCAGTGCCAGAGGACAGTGTGTGTGTCCCCAGGGTTTTTTTTGGGGGGTCCTGGGGCTCAGCACAGCTGGAGTGGAGTTCAGAGCAGCCAGAAAGGTGAGGCACTGGCTTCGCCTTCATCCAGTCTTGTGTCCCCAGTTGCCCTGCCATCTGATCTGGGACTCCCTGTCCTCCTCGGCTACCCCAAATTCCTCTCTCGGAGGGGCAGAAGGAGAATGTGCTGCTCAGGCCCCAGTGTCAGGTGGTGATGCTGGGGGCTGCCCCACCACCCGCCCCCCCGTGCACAGCTGGGCCAGGGATCACCCTGAAAAGCACCCCGAAGGCTTGCCAAAGCCGCAGCTGCAGCACAGCCAGTGGCACCTCCTGGGTGAAGATGTGCAGGCAAACTTTGCTCCCCTGGCCGGGGTTTTGTGACAGCGTGTGGAGACAGCCCCATGTCCCCAGGTACCGCATGCCAGCCAGGCTCACAAGAGATGCTGCTGTTGAAGGGTCCCAGGCAAGCCCTTTAATCCCGTAATTAATTTTAGTAAAAGCTGCAGTCAGGGCATGAAACCTAACAAAAAAGGAACTGATCTTCCAGGGGAGAACGATTTCACGGAGAGGGTTTTACACCTTTTACATCACCAGGAAGGCAGTGGCTGTCAGCTGCTGCCTGCCTCAGGCTCGTTGCAGCCCCCCCAGAAGGGAATTTATGGAGCCTGCTTGCTCCAAGGATGATGCTCCCCACTGCCCTGTGCCCTTGGGGTCAGCCTGGTCCCCTGCCACCTTGCCGGTATAAATCAGAGGGATTATTCCTGCCGGGGAGGTGGTATAGAAGCAGAGACCCCTGGGGGGCGAGGCAGCGGAAGCCAGGGATGGGGCAAGTTGCTCCCACTGCTCCCACCCATGTAACTGGCTGGGGGGATTGACAGGCACTTCAGGATGGCCGTGAGGGAAGGAGGATCCCAAAACACTGCCTGGGAGTTCTCACCAAGTAAATAATCCTTTCAGGACCCAAGGGAGGCTGGAGGCGACAGAGCAGAGGGACGTCGGGGGGCCAGTAGCGGGGGGGGAGTGAGCGGATGCCATTGCTCCGGGTCTTTGCTTGGAGCTGGGGGAAGCATCTCTCTGTCCCTGCAGTACAGAGCACGTGGCCGAGTTGGGCTCCACGCCACCCTCTCCTCTTCAAACGCTTTGTTTCCAAAGAGCCGTTTCCCAAAAGTTGTCCATCTGTCCTCCCAGATTCACGGCAGCATCTGTCCAATGGCCAGTTCCTGCCTAACCACCCGCTCCCAGCCCTGGGGGAACCCTCCTGCCCCCCCGTGCCCACTCAGCACCCCCATGGCGAGCACCCATCCCTCCTCCATCACGTCCAGTCCCACTCCCAGGAGACTCCCTCTCTCCCAGCAGCTCGTGGAGCTGTTTTCTCCCCGCGCTGCCGCACACCCTGAGTGACACAGTATCTTCAGAGCTTCCAATAAAAAGATTTATCACCTTAGCTTTGGGGATTAAAAAGCAATCCATCTGTGAGGCTGCCCCAGCCTTGTAAGGCTTTTTTTTTTGTGCTGTGGTTGTTTGCAACAGGCATGGGGTGGTATTTTTTTTTCCTTTACAGAGCCAAACTCAAGTTTTACAGTGATTGCCTTGTATATTTGGAGCCATGATAGATGGCTCCAGAGAACGCCAGTGGATTTTTTTGCCTCCCCTCCTCAATAAGCCAAGGGAAGGATTGTTTTTTGCTTCCTTCGTGTAGCCGTGGTATGAGGAAAACTCATACAGCGTGAATTTGGCAAAGCCCTCGCATGCCTGGGAGCGAGCGGTCCCTATCTGGGGCCAGGCAATGGGGTGGATTCAGGCTGCCCAGTTATGGATGTGGCATGGCAGCCTTTCCCACCGAGCTCCCAGCCTTTGCGAGGGGAGCAGGAAAGCAGGAAAATGTAAATGCCAGGAAACCGCAGGGATGTGCTGGGTTTGAGCTCGGCACTGATTTAGGCTGCTTTTTGAACTATACTTAAATTATTCCTCTTACTCCAGGATAGTGGTGGTGGTGAAAAGCTAACACCTAGTGCCTGCAGACTGGTGATGGGCAACATAGAGGTAGGCAGGAGGACAAACGGACAGGTGAGGGAAATACATGTAGGGTTTGATTCTGCTCCTCAGGGACACCCGCGGGCTCAGTTTTTAGCCGCACACTGAAGGCAGCCCACCTTCCTGCCTGGCTCCTCGGTGGCTTCCCAAAGAGGCAGGACTCATGTAGGAACCAGCTTTCCAGGCAGACGTGTGCTGCAGGGAGGCTGGGAAGAGGCGATGTGGGAAGCACAGCCCAGCCCAAGGGCCCTGGATGGAGGGGCTCAGCCACGGCTCTGGATGCTCGGGCTGACTCACAGCCATGTTGCGGTGTGACTGTCACCTGCACTGGGGATGGTTTGCTCCATGTCACAGCAAACCCAAGAGCCCTGGAGGGGCTGGGCCACATCCTTGAAGGGATGGGCTCCCCGTACCCCACCTGTCCCCACTTAGGGCACAGAGGGAGGGGACACGCTTTGCTAGATGGGCAAAGGGCATCTCCAAGAAATGAAGGTCTGTGTGTTAAGGACTCCCCTACCTGAAATCCCACCGTCCTCATGGCAGGGTGATGGGAAGGACAGACGTGCGATGCACAGTGCCCTTCCCACAGCCTAGCAGCAACACGCAGGGACAATTTCAGGGGAAAAGTGGCCCATTAAAGCCACCGGGCACCTTCACAA